TTCTGCTGTACATCCACTTCTTTGTCAAATGACTCATCATCCAAGTGAAAAAACCTGGTTGATCGCCGTCTGGACTAGTCTGAAGTGTCCGAGTAACCCGTCTAGATTAATCCGCATTTGGGAATTTTTGTGAAAATGTCAGGACTTCAAGTCTTGGGGTACGACCGGATGCTGAACTAGAGAGGTAGATAGAAATGGATGCTCAAAAGTCGAGGATGACGTACTACCCGTCGGTAGACCAGTGTAGAAATTTACTCATACGTCTGAACGTATAGTCTTGACACTAGTCAAGACGTATTGGTAATTGTTTGTGGTTGCGCTTACTTTTAGCTTCATTAAAAGAAAGGTATTTCATACTATTCAAAGTTTGTTTTACGTTGTTTTACGTTGTTTGGATATGAGATTTTAAAAAACCGCTCTATAGAATTGAGATTCAAACTGTATTTTAACAGCTGAAAAGCAGCTCAGGTACAAAGATTTACTTATAGGACAGAATTCCTTGTTTCAAAATCTTTTCTACTTGAGTGTCTTGTTGGTAAACAAACATCTTGATCTTTCTTTAGTGAATATTTTCGTTTCTTATCTCTATATTTGTTTTCCACATTATTTTAATGAAGCTTAGATAACCGTGTGACATTTGATTGAAGTGAGCAATATAAAAGTGAATGAAAAAGTTAAATGATTATTTCTTATCTTCCTTCTCCTATTTCCATTTCTCATCATCATTTTCGATTATAATTCATTGTGAAAGCACTCAGGTTCTTCTCATTATACATAAAATTTTGGATTGTGTGAGACTAGATTGGAGATTAATGGCAAAAGGCACATATCTTTTGCAAATATAATCAAACAATGGGAACTGAATAACAATGGTGCAAATACGTTTGTCAGGGTATTTTGTGATGGATAATAGTCCTTTTTAGAAATACTTTTCTGGACACGAAATTTGATCTCACATAGAGAATTGATGTATTCTAACAGGTTGTACAATGGAACCAGGAAATGTCTACCATGTGAAGAGATCAGAAAAAATAAAACGGAACGTATTTGCGCAAACTCGATACACAGTAACTTTAAAAAATATAAAACTGCCGTTTTGAAAAAGTTACATTTCAAAGAACAGTATCACAGAAATCCAAAGAAAGAATTGCCACAGGCGAAACCGAAATTGAATGTAGCTCAGTTATTAGACCGATTTGGAACAGATAGGCATAGCAACTACAACAGCCGTGAGAGTGATTCTGAGAAATACCATCTAACGTGGTTCGTGAGGTGAAACTTTAAAAAAGCTCTTTTGTGATGATCTGTGTGATATTGTTTGCATTTAGACATGAATAACAGGTAGCTCAAGAAAACAGAAGAATCTCTTCTTTTCGATCTATTTATTTGTTTTTCTATAAATACTTGTATTATTTTAATGACGCTTAGATAACAGTGGGACATTTGATTGAAGTGAGCAATATAAAAGTGAATGGAATTCTTATCTTTCTTCTCCTATTTCCATTTCTCATCATCGTTTTCGATTATAATCCATTGTGAAGTCATTCAGTTCCTTGTTATTATACATAAAATTTTGGAGTGTATGAGATCAAAACCAGGTTTTCTTCCTTATGAAACTCTTTTATTCTCCATTATTCTTGTTGTTGATATTACTGATATGGATATTCATATTGTCGACAGGTAAAAAGCAAATACACTTACTCTAAAGTTGTCCTTAGCGCTGTGCAGAACCATGAGAAATTTCGCACACAAAAGGTTTCGTCGCATCTGAAGAACGATACCCACCGCCGATTGATTCTACACTCTGAAAAGATTTCGCACAAACGCGTTTTTTGAAATTTTTTCGATAAGTTTCGATACGAACCCTCTTTTCATTTGACGATAGAGGAAACTATAAATCGAAAATTTCGTCTAATGCTGGCGCTTGTAAAACTTCAGAACAAATGAATTTTAAGCAAATAACGTTTTGTCTAATCGACTGTGATCAATCTTTACCACACTCTCATTTTTCGTGCTTCACCACATTCTCTCGTATCTTATACCACTTTGCAATGCTAAACAGTTTTCAAATAGTAATGATTCAAAACAAAAACTCTCTAGTATAGGCAAAAAGTTGAAAAAAAGGACGACGTGGACAGTGACTGGACCTGTGACCACTCGTTTCACGAGTGCATGTCTTTAACCACTAGACCACGCACGTCACTATTGAAAGTATTCTCTTTCTGTTAATATTTTTTACAATATCTTTTACAGAAAATACTCGAAATTCAAAAAAAATTAAAAATTAACTTTTCAAACAACTAAAAGTTTTGAAACTTTATAGTATGTGGACTGTTGAAAATATAAGAGAATTTCTTCGGTGAAATTCACCCGATGAAAGTTTGGGATTTAAACAAGGAATAGATGAGATTTTATTTCCTATTTTCGTTTTTATCAGCCCTGCTACAAGCAGCGAGATATTCACAAAAGCAGCGCCATCTATAGTATAGAATGGTGAATATCTCTGTACTTGCACCAGGACTGATAACAATGGAAACAGGAAATGAAATGTCATCTAGCCCTTGTTTAAATCTAAAACTTTCATCCCATGAATTTCATCGAAGAAATACTCGTATATGGAAAATAATTATCGACAGTTCACGCACTATTAATTTCAATTTCATTCGACAGCTGGTATGGAGCTATACCAGAAAAGTCTTTTCTCAGGACTTCACTTTTTGGTTTAGAAGACAATTTCAAACCTATAAATTAAGATTCAAGACAACAGAAATTGTTTCACTAGACTGTTAAGTCCAATATCACTAAAAGAAACAAGTTTTGAGAGCAGGAAAAATCCCTTCTAAATAGCGTCTCTTGAGACACTTAGTACGCTAATTTCACCATGTTTTATCCGACTTTCTCTTGGGAACATGATGCAATTCATTTCAAGCTTAGTTAAAGATTAAACTTAAAGGTACTCATCCCTCTTTTTAGAAAAAATGTTCGTTTTTGAGTTAAACATGATGCATGACAGAGTGAACTGTTCTCTTTAAAATAAGACTGCTCTCGGCTGCCCACGTCCTTTCGTTGCAGAGATGCGAATTTTTAAACTTCGCAACCAGGGATATCAGATCTAAACAGGAAAATCAGACAAAACGTGAAGAAAAAGGAACTCAAAATTAGAATACCCTGGAAGAAGAAAGAGCAGAAACGAGGCTAAAATTTCCAGAAATCAGAATTTTTCTGCCAGAATTGGCATCATATATATTTATAGAACGAAGGTATAATTCATTTTAAATAATATCGCAGGTTTGACTTTTTGCAAGGAGCTGTTCAAACCATGTAAACAAAATTCACCACCTTGTACAGCTCTATCTGATTTTGAAAGTTTTGCGCGGTGGAAATTTATATTCACAGAGATAAACTCACATTATTCAAAATTTCTCAAAATTAAAAATTAATTTTTCGTTTAAAGTCTTAATTTCAATTGTATTTAATACACAGAAACTGCACGGGAAAAAAGTCACTCTTTTGCGTCTTCGTACAGGTTCTCCAACTTTATAACGTCATAAAAAGCGATTTTGAACAAAAAGTATTTTCAGACATTAAAACACCAGCACAAAAACATTTTGTAAGGGTAAAACTTCCAGATCATATTGAGACAAGCCGTATCAGAAAAACAGACCTTCCGAAAAGTTTTAGATGTAAGAATTAAGATCATTTTTTGGGATAGTAGATTACATCACCTTTTACTTGCACTTTTCTTCGAGAACATGATGTAATCAGTTCCGGAAAACAGTGGCACATATAAACTACAAAAAGTAGACAGAGCAGTGATCTTCACAAGTATATGATAATCTGAATTGCATATATGAATTGCAACGGCATTGTGCCGTTAGAAAAATAGTCAAAAATTCAAGTTAAATAGAAAAAAATTCCGAGACATGCATTCGATAAAAGAATGTCGATTGTCTATGAATACAATATTTTCCCTATCCTTGGTGCATTGGCGACCGTGAACCAGGAAATTTCTAGAGTTACGGAAATCCTTAGGATTTTGACGAAAGAAAACGTTATTTGTTAAATGAAAAGTACAAGTGTCATATGCCGTTCGAAAGAACTCGTCAATGTACATCGAATGGTGCGCGTGCGAATGTAGTACGGCACACGTGCAGACACCAGTGATCATTAGACTCGTTTTTTTAGCGTTTGATACGTTTTTCCCCCACAGAAGGGACCCAAAAAGGATGAACAGTGGTGTAATAAGAAAATCATAAGGCTTAAAAAAAAAATTTCCGAAAAAATGTCAGTGCATTCTTCGTCGTAATTTTTGGATTTTTCAGGAACGGTAAGAGATTTTGATTTTTTTTTTAGTGCATGTGTAACTTCTGGATATTGAAAAGAGTAAAAGTTTCTGAGCAAACCGATTTATTTTGCAGGAGTTATGAGGAAAACAAAAGTAAAAATGTCAGTGCACAAATTGTGTGAAAGTCGAATTTTTCTCCAAAAGATTGTTCCGACCTACACTAATCGATGAAACTAGAGAAAATTTCTTTTTACCAAATTGTCATGCTTAAACTCGTCAATCTTTTGGCCCTAGACCGATCTTTCTAACACAAACAGTTACTGAGATAAATCAACGTTTATGTCAGTGCACAGAAAAACCGAAAGGTGTTTGTTATCACAGTATTTTAGTATTTCGTCGCCATAATTTCATTTAATTTCAGTTCCAAGTGCATATTTGAATAGGCCAAGAATTCAGCTACGAATTTAGTTAAAACTTCTCCCGCTTCTATTTAATTTGGTTGAGAAGAAAACGAGCTTTTTCTAACGAACCAGCTGAAAAAACGTCAGCTTTAGACTTTGTTTGATGAATATCATGACTTCCTTCAATAACGGAGAGCTCATTCGTTCAGAAGTGAAGATACAAATACAGAGAAGTAAAAATATTAAAAGAATTTGAAAATTCATTGAGTGGAACGGTCTTTATACGCAGAACCGTGCAGAACAGTACCGGTACAATGCCGTTGCAATTCACTCAGGTATAGTGATGTAGTGTCTGCGCAGTAGTATATGAAAAACATAGTAAGCTCGGATGACTAAGGAAAGTTGTTGTGCAGTTGGGTTGTCCTTAGCTGCGCTACAATAAAATCGACTTATACTCAAATGGACAGAGTGAATCGATCTGATTAACGTTATTTATGTTTTGAGTCTAAGAGAAAATCTTTCGGTTTTCGATAGAAAGTTTTGTGCACGAAACCTTTTATTCGAACTGATCGAGAAACGTTCCGTATTTTAATGCGAGATAAGATTCGTGTCGAACTTAAAATAGGGTCTAAATATTAGACAAATCTCGAATTTTCTTTTAAGTCCGGTATGGTATGAGACTTTTTTCCTTAAATCCTTCAACGTCTACACTGTAATGTCGGCAATTATCTATAAAAATGCTTGGTGATTTTCAAAAAGTCCATATATAACTTCCCTGAGAATTATCTAGATTCTAGAAAATCGAATTTACAAGAAACCTGAAGAATTGGATTCGACCTCGAATTTTCAGAATTCTGGAAATTCGAGGTCGATTTTCTATAAATAATTTCCAAGATTCTTGGCATTCGAAGCCGATTTTCCAACATTTTAGAAATTCTAGGTGGAATTCCAAGAATCTTGGGCATTATTTATAGAAAATGGATCGAATTTCTAGAATATTAGAAAATCGACGCCGAATTTTCATATTTTTGGAACTTCTGCGGCGATTTTCTCAGTAAAATGAAAAGTCAATTTATTGAAAATCGACTCCATGTTCTAGAAAATCAGAGGTTCAGAGAAAGTCAGAAAATATAGAGAATTTATAAAAGTCGGAAAAAAGTCACCTCCAGTGGCTTCATCTAACAGCTGGAGTTACACGAAAGATTTTAATCACTAGCACATTGCTCGTCTAACTGACACATTCAGCACAGCAGAATGAGAAAATCGCTGCCCGTTCTGGTGGCTGTAAAGAACGAGTCAGATAAAAGGAGAAATACCCTGAATATACCATTGTCTGGAGTACAAGAGTCTTTGTACGTTCAAGTTTCGCAGCCGCTGCGAGAGCAGACACGAGAATCGGTCTTGGTCTTTTTCTAGTGGTCGATGCGCATCGTACAGGTGGACAAGGCCAACGTATAAGCAGTTTGAAGACACATGGAGACAACGACGATGATGATACGGATGCCGATCACGATGGTGTTTCAGTAATTCGGGAACGTTTGAATCAGTTGCCGGGAAACCGTGAGGTGAGCGATCTGGATGCCGATGCGATGGAAAACAGGCCTGAAATGGGGAAGAATCGTGATGGGTCGAGAGACTGGTCACCATCCAGAGGAACAGATAGAAAGCATTGGAAAAAAAACAGATATTGGAAAAATCAGCCACCTTGGAGAAAACATGGCAGACATCATTTCGGTTGTAAAAGTCGTTGGAAACATCAGTATCGTCATCGTGGAGGTAGAAGACATCAACGACCGAGACCAGGCAGTCGAAAAGATGAGTACGACGACGACGACAACGACAGTTCTGATCATGGTGACAGAAGTGACCGCAAAAAAGGTGATGATAATTCATCAGCGCATCGAGCAGGCCAGCGTAACCGGGCAAAGCCGAATGAAGAAGATGATGACCATGATGATAATTTGAATCCGAACTCGAAAAACAGCAATAGTGAAGCTATTGATTGTGCAAAAGTAGATTGCTTCCTTCGATAATAAAGGACAAAATATGCAAAAACAGTATGAAAACTTTTCTCTAACGTTTATTCATATAGATTTCTGTTTCATCCGAGGAAAAGAACAGACACAAGTTGTGTCACAACTTTGACTTTCATTCATTTCAAAATGTACAAGACGTTAAATTAACAGATTTGTTTTAGACGTCCCTGATTCATGGTAATACATCTAGGTTTTTTTTAATGAAACCTTTTTTGCATTTAGCTTCAGAAAAACATGTCAGCCAACGGAAATAATCGGTCGCTACTCTCGTTTTGTTTCTGCACGTACTCTGCTCTCTAATAAGTCACAAAAGCAAGCCGGACCTAGACAAACAAGTATATTTACAAAGGTGACTGTAGAAGAATTAAATTATATTTGTAATGAGGCTTATTTTTACACTTAATCGATCGAAAAATGCAAAGCACTCGTTTTTGCTCTGTTATAATAGTCGAAAAATGTGCTTATTTGTTTGACATAACTGACCATCTATCCACTAGGTATATGATTCATTTGTCTTTTACAAGATCGTCATATAGTAAGTTTTAGACAAGAGTAATAGATGAGTCAACGATGAAAAAAGCTTGACACATTTGGCTGAATTAAATATGAAAAAATATGAATCTGAGTATTCAAGAGAATATTCGCAGTTTTTGCTCGACTGATTTTGTTTTTATTGGCAAATAAATATGAACAAAATAACCCATTTCTGTTCTTCTAACGGTAGAAAGACAATATAAGGTACGAAAGCAACGAAACAAAAATAGATTCACCCTATTTTTCCGTTATCTTTTGGGATGTAAGAAAAAGAAAAAGTGTACACTGGGCACTTTAACTCGGGAAGAGAAAATTGAAGTTTACATGAGAAAAAACGATTTTTGACTCTGTAGGCTTTGTTTTGCCTCGTTTTTATTCTTCTACTGCCAAAATAAAAAGTTTTCAAATGATCACTTATATTATGTTGAGCTAATATTCCTTTAAAAAACAAAACATTATCGCAAAAAGATTCATTAACCGGTTTCTGAGTTATGAGGACAAGTATAAGTAGAGCATGATGAACTGCGTCGATTGACGTTTGAATCAACTTTCTAGCTACTTTAGTTTCCGAGATAACCGAAGCTTAGTGCATCAAAAGCGTAACATGATGTAAAAGCCTGCAGTATATATCCAATATGTTGGATATATACTGCAGGCTTTTACATCATGTTACCTCGCCAAAACTTTTCCTGCAAGTTAGAAAGTATAATTGAGCAGGATTCTTTAACACGCTCACTTTTCAAGTTTCTTTCCTGCAGAATCCTGCGGGTTGTCCAAACGTCACTGCGTTACGTTTTTGACGCACTAAGCTTCGGTTATCTCGGAAACTAAAGTAGCTAGAAAGTTGATTCAAACGTCAATCGACGCAGTTTAGTGTGCAAAGAAAGAAAAAAGTATCTAAGCTTCATTTAACTGAACTACTTAGGTGGGTTATATAGATATGAATGTTTCGTTATACAATGATGAATATAACAGTATGGATGAGCAGTTATTATTCAACATTTAACACTCTTATTCATTGATTATTAATAGCTGTTTCAAGAAGATACTGACTATGGATAATGGTAACTATTTTTATTTTTGTTTTACATACATTATCTCTGGCTACCATGGCCCGAAGAGAAACCTTTATAGCGGGAAAATTCCACGTAAAACTGATCTAACTACTCAATGAGAAACAATTTCTATATTTTGATGAAGCCAAGGAGTGACATTGGTGACTCTGTATCTCAAAAGCCAGACGGTACCTGTTTTTAAAAAATAGCTCGACACGATGTCGAATATTTCTTCTTCCGCTTAGGATAAAAAGTAGAAGTAGATACTCTCTATTTAATTCCTATTTAACTGGTTAAGTTGATGGATTTCCCATTAAAGTCATAATGAGTAATACTTTCCTTGGGTAGAAGAGTAGATGAACATTTAGAGTAACAGATAAAATTCGTTCTTCTTTATTTCATTCTTTTGTTATATGAGTTAAGTTGTGCAACTGATAATAGAAAACGAAAATTTATTCCATTCTGTGCATATCAGCTTTTTCTCTTTCTGCCATTTAAGTGAGAAAAAGCAAAAACAAATGTCTACACATCGACAGAAAAGAACAC